TTGCACTTATCAATTCACAATACTACTACTATACTACTGTTGATTTAGCAGATTAGTGAGCTATTTCATAAAGTATGGATTCTTACTTTCACGATGTCTGTAACGGCGATACAAACGAAAGTTCAGCACGGGTTCGTCGGAGTCGCAGGACGATTAACCGAAGACTTCATTTTCATACCATTCAGCAATTTTCTCTGCATGGCGGTCAATCTTCCTTCGAATTCAGATGAGACCAATTCACGAATTGCTTGAAACGAACATTTTCTTTGAAATGGAAAGTCGAGTCACACTGACTATTTAGTCATGCCTCCTTTGTAAGTAATTCTAGTGATCTTTTTGAGAGTTTTTCTACTCATTTCGTAGGTTGTGGGGTCTAAGAGCAAAAAAACCGGAACTGGAGGAAAAGGTGGTCAACTGAAGGGAATCGATGGAGTGATCAAAAACTCAAGATGCTGCAGAATGTGGATACATCCGGAACAGTGTGAATATGGTAGGGCAATTAAGTAGTATTTACTACTGACTATTCGATAGAATTGGCGAAACAGATGAGAATGCCTATTTAGTCTGGAGTCTGTTGGGGCTTGGTACGTACAAATTTCCGCCTGAGTACTGAAGCTCCACAGCACACACGGAAACACACATCGGAATGCAAGGTGACCATGTAAGCTCGCAATGTGTCGTTTTGGTGAAGCGTTGAGGATGGGCAACAACTCGTCTGTCGAATGAAGCTGCAGGAAATGGTGTACATTCATTCCGAGTGGAAGGGAATTAATTGAGGCAAACGATGAGGAGTGAAGAACGGGTAAGCTGGGCACGGAAAGAATGGACAAAATCGACCAGAAAAATAAGTGAACCACTGCCTCCGCGTCGATGTGTAAATTAGTCGAGCCAGTTTAAGTTCGGCCTGAAAGGAGCGAATGGGAAAAAAAGAATGTCCGGACGCCAGTCATTTGAGCGTTCAGAAATGGAGCATCAAATAAGAAGGTCCATTTTGGTGAAGTTATTGTTGGGACTTTGAAAGTGTGGCAAGAAGAGATTCATGGGTTGATCGCACCAGACGAGGACGGCTGAATCGCGAGGTACTACGTCGATGTCAACGTCGCATCAAAACCAAACAGCTACCGTGCAACGCGATTCAACCGTCCTCTTCTGATGAGGTCAACCCATGCATCTATTTTACACTTTCATGCAAAATGAAAGTCATAACAGTAACGCTATCTCAAGATATTCACCGAAATCCAATTATTCTTCATTCTGAAAGGCAAAATTAGAGGTCAAATTTCTGCAATTCTTTGAGCATTATATTTTTGGAATTAAGTATTGTTTCCATGACTACCGGTAAATCAGTATTATAAGATGTGTTCACCCAATTTCGTTTAAGGTTATGAAGGACTGGTAGAAGAAGAATTTTCCCACAATGACGTTTCCATT